TTTCACCCTTCTACCACCAACCCCTATTTTTTATGGCGGTACGAAGTTCGCTGTGACAGCTAATTACAATATTAAATATTACAGTATTCTGTAAAATAAATCTCACTTCCGATTTCTGTAGCTGCTTTTTTAGACATAAGTTTGATATGCATTACGCCATTACATGGCAAAATATCGCTATGTCTATAGAAGCAGCTAGTATTAAATATTTGTCATTTTTGACAGAAATCCGAATAAATGGTAAGTGACATTGCAGGACTTTTTAGCGGGATTGAGAAGCGTCACTTTAGCAGTTTTGTTTTTCTTGATGAAAATTGTGTTGTGGCGGATGTTAGTGTCTAATAATGGTGGATAATTGATCACTAAGTGTTCGGGAACATGAACAAGTGTTGGCAACTCAAACGAAATAGCGGAAAGTGTCTTTCGACGTTCCCTCAAGGAGTCCACGGGGAGGTTCCTGTAAATCCCCACACATTTACTGAAACATAGGGAAAGGGGGATTGACTTCACTGCCACTTACTTTGTCTTGATTTATTACTTTGACCACGAGTGCTATAGTATTCGTAAACATTTTAACACTTGGCATTGGCTAAATGCACAAACAGTGCGAAGCCATTTTGAGAAAAAAAAGTGAGATACTGTAATATGCAATTACAGAATATATCTATGCTGATCAGTCAGCTGCGTTGACACTTCATACACAAATCCTTCTAAATTATTGCTTACAATAGACACATCAATTAATAAATACAATTATAACTTGCAAAAAGATGGCGCCAATAGATCTCTATTTTTTTTAATTGTCTGCCAGTGTTTAATATAATATCCATTACATTTATTCGCAGTGAGAGTGTATTCCATTACATTCTACAAACAGATCAGAGAGAAGGTTATAAATAGCTGTCACAATTTCTCTATTATATTTTTATGGCGGTGATATTGTAATTGACGGGCGGAAGCATGTCGTTGGGCGACCATTACAGCTAGTTGGCTCAACTGTGCTGACAAAACATACGGCGGCTGCGCACGATTGATTGATCACTACATATATTAACACTTTTATTTCTTTTAAATTAAGCATAATGCGATTCAACTAAGAATAGGACCGACTGGGTGCCATATTTTGACGTCATAGCTGTCAATTCAAACCAAATTGGTAGAGTGAGCAAAAAAAGTTTCTATTTAATAAAATTCATTTACCAAGATTGAGAGAAAAAACAACCGATTTTTAATATTTCTTTACTAAAACTGTGTGAGAAAAAATCATTATATATCAGAATCTAGCTCTTCAATTGCGCTCATCTCTGCATTACCGCCGGAGTAGTTATGAATAATCATGCAGGTCACATACGAACATGCATCCTATATGTAAACGAAAGTATTTGAACGCAACATAAAGTGACATTTGGTTGACGATTTCGGTTATCAACCATTCATAGCCAAAGCTAAATAAATGAAAAAAAATATCAACCAATATTAATTATCAATATTTGTTATTGTTTGTTTAAAAATGTTTGATTTTTATTCTAGAATTAGCTGAGTGCTAAAAAAGTGTTCCGAGATTTTTTGCAAACTGTACTTTTCAAGCGACATTTGACAGATGGAGGTCATTGGCTTTCCTATTCTTATTTGAATCGCATTATAAATAAAAAAAGGGTTTTTGTGAGTGTGTTTGTGTGTATCTGTGTGTGTGGGAGAGAATGCGCATGTCGTTTAGCCAATTAAACAATGAAATACCAAACAAAACCCCTTCAGTAAAATAGGTTCCCTTTGTGAACGATATAGTTGCATCTGCGTTAGCGATGACAAATAGAGTTAATGAATAGGTTAATTTAAACAGCTCCTTTAATAAATTGAAAAATATTCGCTTACAATAGGGTATTTGACAGTATTAAAAATAAAGTGCCAATTGTTAGCATCTATATTTAGATTGAATATTGGCATGGATTTATACTATTTTTACAAACAAAATATTCATAATTTTACTAAAAACCCTCGAAAAAGATAATAGTTTTCTTATCTATCACGTGACCCAAAACGCTAGGGATTGGCGGAGCCTAAAATGACGTCACACACAAGTAAACTTCCGGTTAAAGTGACATTGCATTGTATCGTTTGACGTTTTAATAACAGTCGTGTGACGTCACACACTAGTAAGACGCCATATTGTCTAGAGAAACGTTTTCGCGGCAACTTGAAAATGAAGTTTTTGATTTGGTTTTTTTTACTGAAATACACAACAGAATGATCCACTTTTTACGGACTCCAAAAACATTAGTTAATAACGTGAGATCGTTGCCTAAAACTTGTCAAAAACTCTATTTCTGTTATTCGTAGGGGTAAGACCTACCCCGGCTAGACCCGGACGCTGCTGGGTGCGGAGACGCGGTGAAGTACCTCAACGACGATCTCGCGGTACCACACTTAACAGCGTAAAGGGTATTCGCAGGGTTTTTTAGCGGATAGAATGCCGTAAGCGCTGCTTAACGGCTTCTCCGTTTCGCACTCCTAGGTCTTGCGAGAGGCTAGGTCTGAGGTCCGTTCGTTGGTTTTGCCTGTGTAATAAAAAAAGTGTAAGGCTAACAAAAGCATTTTTTTAACGGTTAGCCAGTAAGAGTATGGCCCGCTTGATGGAAAGCGGCCACCATAGGCTATTGACGCTAACGATACAAAAATATCACTCACACCGTTGCCTATCCTGACTAGTGTTACCAGGTCCGATATGTTTAAAATCGGTACAAGAGGTCAAAAAAATCGGGATTTAGGGTTTCAGATCGGGACAGTCAACAAAAAACAAGGGGTTTTTAAGTCTGGGTTTAATTTATTGCGTTTTAAACTACTAGTACAAGTATAGTATTATATTAATTACCTTAATTTCATTTTTTGATTAATCGAGACATTAAGCGTCGATCAGGTACAAATCGGGACGCGTCCCCAGACCCCTGAAAATCGGGACGTCTCGCGTAAATCGGGACACCTGGCTACACTAATCCTGACCCAACCTCCTTGAAGCCCTGGAACCTTACTCACCGACAGAAATACGACACTACCAAAAAGTAGTATTATTAATGTGGTGGTATGGTCCGTTGAAGGTTACTTTCCCAAACGAGCGCTCCAATTCGGGTGGGTAATAGCGGACTTTCCGCTATTACCCACCTCTTTTAGTTTTGAGGTCAAGAACCTTTTGAAACAATCGCAACTAACTGAATAGAAAGTGCAGTTAAACAGAAATCTACCGATTGAGTTAACACTTGAGCTGTCTAAAGCCTGTCAGCTCAGTCGATACTGTAATGACGAGGTCGCCGACACTGATAATGCCAATCGACGCATCCTGCCTGCAATTGGTGCGCAAACGCATGCGAAACTACTAAACTACGCGTGAACAATCTAAGAGGAGAGATACCCAGTGAAGGCAATAAACAAACCAATGAAACTCTTAACCTGGGTATATAAAATAAAATAAATTAAGATTCTGTCGTCTGCTATTTAAAAATTATAGGTAATTTGTAACCTACAATTTTTAAATATTAAAAATTTAAAAATTTTAGGTATAACCAGAGTCCATAAATTTGTTATTAAATAAAAAGAAAGAAAAGTTAACTGATTTATGTTGACGGCATGTAACTAAATCTATGTATGGAATCTAAGACTGGGATGAAACCATGGAATACGTGCGCTACCGTTTTGTTTTTAACATTACATTATATTATTTATTTATTATCGAAGTGATTACTTACTATAGGAGGGCTATTCTAATAAACTGAAACGTTACGTAACGCGTTACGGCGCCAGTCTGTCTAGCTTCCCTTCCTCTCACGCATATGGCAGCGGTAGGCAGGCTCCTCCTCGCTGACTCTATGATAATTATTATAATTATATCAATCATAAAAGGTACTTTTATTTATTCCCGTCATTATAATAACAAAAACAACCATTGGTAATTTAAATTAAAGTCAAACAATATTGCAGACTGTAATATTAAACCACTGCTTAAATTCTAAGGGCTGTAAGGCTAAATGTTACTATAGTTAAAATACGTCATAAAAAGTAACGATTTGTCAAAATTATCAAAATACTGCTATTTCATCGATGGTTAGACTAACTATAGTAAAAAGCATTGACAATTAGAAAAACACATGAGTTAGATGAGTGACACAGAGGAGTAGTTAATTTTAACCTCAGTTTGGATTATAGTATTTGGCTGAGAGAATTTATTTAATGAAATTTAAGTCTGAGAAGAAATGTACCATTTTATAGGAACATTCTATCTATAACTTTTTTTTAATTTTTTTGGCAAATGAAATAAAAAGGTTGGAACATATATAATGTACTTATAAAATGGTTTATTTCTTATCAGATTTAATTTTGTTTTAACTTTTTAGCTCTTTTCATTATTACCAAATAAAATTCGGTAAACGTATGAGAATATACATACTTATTAATATTATAGATAGATTATAGATAATAGATACAGTTGGCCCTATCTCAATCATACAATTGAAATTTGATATATTTGAAACCACTCCCTTCTGATATTAATACATCAAGCATTGTTATTTGAAATCAAATAGATTTCCATTGATTCTAGCTGAAGTTCCCCCGCATGGTGTGCATTAAACGGACCGGAATGGTATGGATAAGGGTCAACTAACTCCCACTGAAGCGATAGAAGGGGGACTTAATTGTCATCATGGGACTATTTCATAACTGACCGACGAAATTGGAACATAAACTTCATCCGTTTGCTCATAGAACTCTGCAGCTGATATATGATAGCTAATTAGTCTAAAACTTTTCGGTCCAATAGTTTGTTTTACTGTCCTTTCTGATGTTGGTCTGACTTCTTATAGATGCACTATCTCACCGTATAGGCAATTCTTTACTGTAAAATCAGACAGTGCCGTAGAAATTGGTTCCTTCTAAGGTTCTTCGTTTTATTCAAATGTGCAAAAAGAAAAAAAAAATCATGTCTTTTTAACTAAATTTTACTTTTCAGACAGGTTTCGTGAAACAAGTGAACAAGGAAGGAAGTGACAATTTAAACTGTAACAGTGAGGGAGTGTTATAATGCAACAGTGTGAACAGATTCAAAATAAATAAAATGTTAGAAAGACGATAATAGATCGAGACGATGGGTAGGCCGTGTTAACAAATATGATGATCTCGCGACGTCTGTGGGTTGTGACTCAGCCATGGCTCCTGTTGGCGACTATGGTTCTGGCAGTGATGGAGGTGGTGGCGCTAAGCGGGCCCAACGTGTGCATGGTGAAACAGAAGTAAGTCATTCAGAGTGAGTTTAAAACTCCTCTTATTCCTTTCTCATTCATCATCATCATCATCAGCCTATTAATGTCCCCACTGCTGGGGTACAGGCCTTCCCTATGGATGGAAGAAGGAGATTGGGCCATGACGGTGGGTCATGCGTCACGCGGGCCCAATGTAAACTCTTTGTTTGTTATTGTGCCTACGCCTGGCTGTTATATTAAAAAGTTAATGACATTATTTTAAAGATTTTAATTGGGAATCTTCTGTCTTTTGATAGAAGATTCCAGCAGATAGAATTCAGGCACCAGACCATACGGTTATATATAAAGCTATAATTCACTACTACTCACACGAGCTACCTTCGAAAGACTTATATTGAGCGTTCGGTTATGTTATATTCGAAGGTAGCTCGACAATTTTAAATAAAAAATCATTATTCTGACGATGCAGACCTGAAAAGGCTGCGAAACGTCAATAAATAAATAAAGTTTCGTGCATTAACCCGTAAAAACTAGTTTTATTAATGAGTGATGTGCGTGAAAACCTAAGAAACAAATATGTAATTAGTTGTTTACTATCGTATGAGCATACCCCCCAAGGCTTCCCTTCAGGTTAAGCCTCTACAGTACCTACTAGTAATAATATTACTACCATTATAATCTTCTTCGTGATAAATAAATTGATTTCTTAACAAATTTGCAGGTACAACATTACGAAACGTATCATGTATCGTGCGCCAATGTCTGTAAGGACATACGAGTGGTGTTTCTCTATGCCCCCCCGCTGCTCCCGGTGGAACACCGAAATGAGGGATCTCACAAGGCTCGAGGTCGGGACCCAAATTATTTACTACCATAATAAATTAATGATTTTTATTTTTATTTTTATTACGTTAGAAACAGTAAAACATGTTGTCATAAAATCCGAATTTATAGTGAATTGAAGAGCATTTGACGTCGGTACCAACAGTAGTGACAAGGCATATTGGCGGTGTCCACAATGGTTGGCGACTGTAATGACAGTATTTAATTCCAATCGCACAGATTCGTACATTAACATAGCTTTTAACATATTTACATCTGAGGATATCCTTGAGAAAAACTAGGCCGCTCTCCCCTCTATAATACATAATGGTACATTCCAATGCCATAATTACACTGTAATTAGAAACGCAATGTGATAGCAGGTGTCAAGATCGAGTTCTTTGTCGCTAATGACTCATTAATTTTTTTAACATTAATAATTTGTTTTGTGCTGAAAATGAATCTTGATTGAATCCACACAAGGTGTTTAAAAATAAGTATCACTAACCACAGTAGTTCCTATACACAAAAATGAGTGAGATGTTTATATACTACCGAAAGTGTATTTTTAAGTTTATGATCTACACTGAAGAGAGGTTTTTGCTATAGCAACGGATTAAATTTTAGTATTGTGATAAAATAATTTCATGATTCCAGACTGAGGAACGGACTGCAGAAGTAGCGATATGCTGTCCAGGGTACAAGATGAAAGATGTGTCGTGTGTTCCTATATGTCCCAACGGGAAGACTGGCTCCGGTTGTTCAGAAGGTAATACAAGTCCAAAAATGATCCCAATATTCACATACATCATGTGAAAACCATATTCGTTTTCTAATTTCTTCAAACGTAAGAATCTAATAATAAACTAGTTTAAAATTTGTTCTTAGCGTTTAAAAGAAACAAAGTACACGTTTTTACTAACCTATTCATTATTTATATTTTAAATAACTCGTATACTAATACTATGCCTTTTAACTACACCGGAGTAAGTATATAAATATGAAACTAATAGGTATTGAAGAAGAGATAAACATTGTTCTGATACCAATGTAAATGAAAATAGCACTGTAGAATAAAAAATTGTCAATAACTAATGTAAACATTAACCTTTTTTTTATTACGCAGGCAAAACTTCTATTTACAGACGTTGGCGCCCTGGGCACACCAACGAACGGACCTCAGCCTCTCGCAAGTCTCAGGCTTACGAGCGGCATACTATTCGCTAAAAAAAACCCTGCGAATATCCCTACGCTGTTAAGTGCGGAACTGTGAGATCTCCACCTTCACCGCGTCTCCGCACCCAACAGCCTCCCGCCAGGGCTCCACGGCAGTATCACCCGGGCTATTTCGGGAGATCCCGAGGACGTGCGCAGGACTGCTCGCGCTGTCCACTGCGGAAGCGCTGCCTAAGCGTTTCTCTCGCAGGCCCTTCGGCGGCATCAACCTAGTCTGAAATTTTAAAAAAACTAAATGATGTTACAGACAGGTTATTTTCATTCTTTCAGATTGCCAACCAAACAGGTGGGGTCCGAATTGTGTTAACGAATGCCGTCACTGCTTTAACGGTGAATGTTCACCAACCACTGGACAATGCATCTGCCAAGAAGGATGGCAAGGTGAGAGGTGCGTCATCGCATACTACTGATTTATAAACAACTTCCTCATTAGGCCCGATTCTGGCATGGTATACTACTTGAAAATTAAAACTAAATTTGTTAACAATCTCTTATTCTGTATAGAGCATGACAAGGATACACCGTTGTCAAATTTAATTTTAGTTTTAGATAATATGGTAGAATGGGACCCATTTTTGATCTAACCGTTTGCTGAAGTAACTTCACACGCGTCCAAGACCTTTCTGCAATATTATAACTTCTAAAAAACATGAGAAAAGCATCTGGTACATTGTATGTTGTGTTTCAACTCTACCTAATTGTAAAAGTCGATCGACATTTTACACAAAATACAAAAATCTTTATACATAGTGTTGGTATTTTTCTACTCATTATAAGAGGTGGGCGCAGCGGTTTGTGGCAGTTTTCGCTTGAAGTGAAGCCTCAGTGTGGGATAGCCACCATCTCACAGAAGACAATAGCCTGCTTCAGTACCTGTTCCACACATAACATTACTTTGTAGTTTAGTTTTCGTGTAGAAAATTTGATTCTCCTCATAAATATAAAATATACTTTATTCAAATTGACATAAATTATAATTCGTATAAATTAAAACCAAAGTTTATTGGTAGAAAAATAAATGTAAGATTTTTTATGTTTATTCCTTTTTTATGTGTATAGTTTTAAACATATCACAAATTTTGTTCCAGTTGCGAGAACATCATATCAACTAGTACAACTTCGACTACGCTAGTGAAAAACTTACTAACCACTTTAGATGCCTCTAGTAACACTACTAGAATTTTTAGCACAGCACCTACACATGCTAAAAGTCTCATAAATAATGAAAGTGTTACAACCAGTAGTTTGACGACGACAATGAAGACAACCACACCCTCCCCTATACTATATCAAGTTGAGGATACAAAACAATGGAATGTAAAATTGCCCACAAAATTAGAAGATTTTTTGTATATGTCACCATCAGCAATGACGACAGTGAAATTTACTAAAATTAATAGAAATGTAACTCCAAACCCTACGGATACACAAATTGAATTAAAGAACAATGAAACTCTATATTTAAACAACAGAAATACATTTCAGACCTCTACAAAAAAGACCGACGAGACTACAAAAAGTACTTATACAACAAAAGGAACTACTACTACATTAGCAGTAACGAAACCATTTATATTAAATTATACTGATATGATAAGAGTACAGACACCAAGTAAGACAATTATAGTGGGAGAAACAACACCGAAAATTGTTGAAATCACCAAAAGTATGCTATCTAAAACAACACAAAAAATAGAAACTACACAAAAACCAGAGACAACATTAAAGATGTTTCCTGTAACTGTGAAGTTCAAACCAAAAGAAATTTGGATAAGACCAGCGCAAAAAGGTGAACCACCAGTAACAGAGAAAAAAATAAACGATATAACTAACCCAAAATATAAAAACACGTCAAAAAAGGATATCACCCTAAACACGACTCCCAAAACCATTATTGTTTCAATTATTCCAACATCAGTTTCATATGCAAGTTTCAGAAAAATTGCATTATCAACATCACCACATATGACCACGAAAAACCTCACTCTTATGAAAATAAACAAGTCCGAGGAAGAATTTACTAAACCTATGTCTGCACAAACATCAACAGTAACTCCTATCACCAAACCTAAAGTCAATTTGACTTTGAGCAACGCACAAACTTTAACTCCATCTGTATTAAATGTAACGATGTCTTTATCACATAATGTGTCTTCGACAACAAGAAAAGTTTCTGCGACTAATTCTACTTCTATGAATAATAAAACTAATAGCATGTCCAGCACGTCGAATGTAGTTAAGCCAACGATGAACCCTTCTAACCCTCTAACTTTAGTGACTATCCCTGAGACTAATATTACTTCACAATCTCATATTCGTAACATAACAACGAAGAAATTGACAACAGCAAGTACTGCACCAAACTATTCAGATATATTGAGAACTATTGATAGCAAACATTTAGTCTCTGCAAAACCAAATGACACAAACTTCAATAATGACAATAAAATAGATAAAAAAGAACTTATAAGCAAACTTTCAAATAAAAATTTAACTAACAATAAAATGAATGTAACAAACGAAACTAATACAGTAACAACTGATAAACCCGAAGAAGATGAAGAAAAATTTCATATTTTGACAGAACCAGAGCACATAACGGCTGTCATGAGCGACAAAGAGACTGAGAGGTCGTCCGTGGATCTAATATCGGTGATAAGTATAGCAGGTGGTGTGATGATGGCTGTGATCACGGTAGCGGTCGTCATCGTGATGATGGAGAGATGCAGGAAGCCGAGATATGACGACATCAGGAAGATTAATGATATCAGAATGCAAGTGATGATAGATAATAATGATATACCACCACCATACGTCAGAAGCATATTTCATACACCATTGCCAGGTAAACTGATGCTATTTATAAATGTAGTACTTAAATTTGAAATTACTTCTTAGAAACATATACACATAACAAACAATATTATGTAAACCAAATCTTATTTGACTAAGGACTATTTTGTCATGGCATAGTTTTTCCCACACACCCCGTGATGGTTTCTCCACTACTGTTAGGACATAGGCCCTATTTATGAATGAAATAACGAGAATGACCCACTACGCGAGTACAGATTTATGAGTGCTAACAACTGCAGATGTAGTCAGGCCCAATAGCTTGGAAAAATCAAGGAGGAGCTCGTGATAGTAAATTTTGAACAGCAATGCTATGGCACAAACGCGATAACCACTGCGCCATCAAGCTTCTTAGTTGCTTTAAAATGGCTCAGATACAAGGCGACACCAGACACTAGACACTCAGTGTATACATCGACCCTCTCTGTGTGTACACTGCCGCGACACTAAGTTGCAGATATAGAGGCGACGCCGCTCAGTGTCTGTGTTGCAATCGTGGAGACAGGATGTGCGCAGTGTCCCACACAAGTTTTTATGACGATGCATTTTAATTGAAAGCCACGCGATATACCATCACGGCAGCAGTACGTTGATTTATGGCGAGGGAATGTACAACACTGAATTGCAGTCGGTGAAGCATCGATTTGTGTAGATAGCCAATACACTTGAATCAGAACACTAACCCCCTTATTAATAAACGAGGTCTACGCTTGGATTAGTTACTCCATGTTTTGTCTCTGTCTATTGAATGACAAATGGCACTTGAGTGACATGGACAAAACACGGCGTAACTAGTCTAAGCTTATTCCTCGTTTATTAATAAGGGGGTAGCTGTTTACACTAAGGTCAACACAAAAAATTACTTATCGTGTGGACTCAATGGACACTAGTGTCCACATTTGTGTCTAGTGTCAGTGTCGTCGTGTATCTGAGCTATAAAAGTTTCTCGGTACTAGACTAAAAGAGGTAACTGATGAAACGAATTCTTGTAAGCATCTAGATAATGTTAAATGTTGTATTATTGTTGAAAATTAGCTACCTAATTACATCTAAATACTTTATAACCCGACCAGAAAAATGACCTTGCCGTATTGAGGAATACAAATGGAACAAATATTCAACTTTATGATGACTGATAACGCTGATAATATTATTATAACAACAGCTGTTGTTAATATCTCATATTAATGTTTGACATCTGTATGATTTGGGGGCCCCAAACGCATGATGTGGTCAATCGCAAATTGTATGCTACAGCAGCGTCACTTAGGAGACTATGTAATTTTCTACCCGTCACCACCAAAATTGCCTAAGCACGGCTTTTTTGCTTCCTATACTTGATTATGCTGACGTCTGCCATCTAGATATCACGAAGGATCTACTTAATAAACTTGAGCGACTTCAAAATTATTGTATCCGTTTCATATTTGGCTAACGCAAATATGATCATGTCTCTCGATTTCATTCAAAGCTCAAGTGGCTACCTATTCGCCTTCGCCAAAATACTCATATTCCTGCTGTTCTTTACAACATATTGTCTAATCCCAAGTCCCCGCGCTATCTTAGGGAAATTTTGATTTCCTTCATACTTCTAACACGTTACCTTTAAGGTCATCATAAAATTTAGCTTCTACAACTCCCGTACATGGCACAACTTTTTTCAACGGTTCGTTTTGAGCGTTAGCTATACAATCTATGGAACTCTCTTCCGGTTTCAATAAGATGTGCGAAAGCCCCAGTAACTATATGACTTTATAATTATTTTGAAGTTATACTTCTTTAGGCGCGTTATGAAAAAATGATGAGAGTGAAATTTTAAGATGCGCGCGCATCACTGTAACACAAAATTTTTAACATAATAATGCGTTACTTTTGTGTTTACCGCACATTAAGAAAATCTACCAACAAAATAGAATCTCTATTTAGTGGGTGCTAACGACTGCATTGTGAAGGCCTATCAAAAGTATTTATTAATCTGGAACAACGGAACCAAAGCGCGATTCAGGAGACTACAGCGCCATCTCTTGACCATTGGTGTAGTAGAACCAAAAACCACATCTTTATTTTTTGTAATAAAGTAACAGTTATAGGTATTCATATCTATAATATTTATCCACATGTTTCTAGTTTGTATATTCGGAATACGTGTTTGAGTTTCATACAAGTGCAAATCACACATGTTCTAATAAATTATATTCAGTAGCGATTTTAATTGAATATTTTGATTATTTATTTATTTTTTCAAATTAAAACTGAACTTTATTGACTGTGTCCTTTTCCAGACTTTTTATTAATTTATTGTAATTAATTATTTGCATGCAATTAAAAACTAATTTTAAACGATGCCAAAGAAGGATAACTTCTCACGCGCCTACATAAGTACACGCACCCATTTTTTGTTTTTTATATCTTATGTATGTATTTTATATATATGTATCTATAACTTATATAAATATATGTATGATGTATTTACGAATAGATTATACTAGCGATTTACACCGCCGGCTCTCCCAGTTCCTTCTAATCCTCTCCATCCAAAGGTAGATCGCTTTTCACGATAAGGCCGCCCATTGTGTCACCAGTATTAGTTGGTTTTGTGTTTCATGAAAAATATTTTATGTGGTGTACAATAAAAAGTTTTTGTATTGTATTGTAATAATGATAGGGTTACTAATTTTAATCTTAATAAAAATAATAACTGGACAATGGTGTCGATTCTAGCATGATTCTCTAAACCTAAACTTAAATTTGACAGCAGTATATCCTTGTCATTCTCTATACAGAATGAAAAGGAGAGAATGATGTTAAATTTAGTTTTAAGTTTAGAGAATCACGCCAGAATTGGCACCACTAACACCGTAGGCCTTTAATGATTGAAACTGACAAAAAGTAAGAGTATGTTGATCTTCTTAGGTAATTTGGATAAGAAAAATATTAATAATTGTAGCCTAGGCCTGATTGTGCCTCAAATCAAGAAGTAACTAAACTCAAAAATTAAAATTTCGTGCGTCAGCGTATGGATGCCGATGACATCTTAAAGTTGAAAATTATGCCGCATATTCATTAGGCAACATTTGTTGATATACTATTTATGACGTTCAACATCTCGTTTATAAACAAGTTTACCGTAAACACTGTTTCTGAATCATTGTCGTCCACACTAGTCAGTTGTTGCTAGGATGTTGCCCGAGGAAACAGTGCTGTCCTCTGCTTACGTTAACTACGTAGGCAGTATCATGAGAGTACGAGAAAAAAAATACAAAGATTGGAAAGGTAAGGATTCTTCATAAAAACCAAGCCTGTATTAATAACCAACTTAGGCACCTACCAAACGTTTAATACTTAACTGTTTAGGTATTGTAAAATACTGGGTAAAATTAAATATTTTTGCAATAAATAAATAATAGTTTAATAAAAGAAGAAAAAAACTTGGCGTTGACTCCAAGGCCGTTGCTGTTCAGCTATCGAGAGTGTAAAACTCGACTATAGAGTATGTAAAACTTCTATTTATTGAAACTAGATGTACAGTGATGATTGTAGTGCACGAATAAACCTTTCTGGTTTTTGTTTGCACTATATGTATTAAAATAATTGTAATAGTACTTGATTAAATAAATAATAAATATAATCTGTCTCTTGCAGAGATTTACAAAATTTCGGATACCTTGTGTCAAATACTGTTTAATTTTCGTTTCATCGAGTTTCAAATCACAACGGTACTAAAGAAGTTATCACTTCAAAAATCTAATATAATCAAATGCGTCACATTTCACTTTTTTTTTGAATTTTTTACCAATATTGCAAAAATTTGTGTTTTCTATGAAATATAAACAATAAAAAAAAACATTAACAAATAAAATAATACTAGCAAAAAATCCACGCGGACTAGGCAGCAAACCTGCACCTGGTCCGCGTGGAATTTTTATGTAATAATTTCCGTAGATTTAAACAACGAGCAGTTACATGCTTAAAAAATAAAAATTATATTTAACAAATAAGTTCTAAATACAAAGTTTTTAGATAAATAAATTGAGATTTTCTTTAGTAAGTCATTTTTTTTTAATCTTTTATGTTTAAATCTAAAGAAAATATAACTAGAAAAAATTCCACGCGGACCAGGCAGCAGACGGGACTCGAACCCGGACCTCACGGACCGCGGTAGCATAATTGGTCAGTGCATTCGCCCGGATTGCGAAGGGTGCGGGTTCGAGTCCCGTCTGCTGCCTGGTCCGCGTGGAATTTTTTCTAGTTATATTTTCTTTAGATTTAAACATCAAGCAGTTACATGCTTTAAAAATAATAAAAATTATATCTTTTATGTTCTTCTATTCTTTATTTACATAAATTTGAGTCATCGAATAAGTTAAAGTGGACAGGCGACTTGGTGACTGATGTTAAAGGGTGCGAATGCACTATGACAAATAAACTACGTAGGATCATTCAATGTGGAGATCATCGCAGAAAAGTTTTGTCGAATTTTAAAAGGCTTGAATTAATTTCGACGTTAACGGACTTGTTCCTTTTAAACACTATATCTCCAAGATGATGTGTTGATGAACGATTTAATCTACATCAATTAAGTCCCTTCCCTATCCAAAAAATGCATAACATTTAAACTTAATAACCGCATATGGTCAATATTTTTTTAAATGATCTAAAAAAAAATAACAGGCGTTGTACATAAAAGTTTCTTTTTTTTTCTCCAAGTGTTAAGAAGCATTTTCACTTCTATGTTTTTTATTGGATTTGGCATTAGAAATAATTTTCCTCTTAAGTTTGTATGAATATTTGGTGAAGTAACTAATTTATCCTTATAAGTATTTTTCGGTGGTCTATTAGGTGATTTTCTCTGCTTATTCAAAACATCATTTAAATGAAACGCCACTGTTTCCTTAAATTATTGACCTAAAATCATTTAAATTAAATACAGAGCACAAAAAACTTCGCCTGTTCACAAAATATCAAAAAATCCCTAATTAATAAAAATATAATCATTTGTCTTTAATTTTAGATTTCAAACAACTCTGCCGAAAACTTGAATAAATAGCGCTTCATTTGTTTTTCTTTCCACTGTCAATAATAATACAAATTTTATTATATCTAAGTACTTACAAGAATTCGTTTCATCAGTTATAGTCAAGGAACCGAACCATTTTTTAGATTGGTCGTTGAATCTAATAATTTTTGTCATTGAGACGTCTAGTACTTTATCTTTTAATTCAAAATTTCGTTAGCGTTAACAACGGCCCATTAGCTCAGTTGGTTAGAGCGTCGTGCTAATAACGCGAAGGTCGCGGGTTCGATCCCCTCATGGGCCACATTTCTATTTTAATTTTTTTTCATTCTTATAACTTTTTTTGCAGATCCACCTTCCGAAAAATGTCATTATCAACCAATTTCAACTCTAGACCGTAATCTGAAACAATTCATGAGACCGGTGGTAGTGCAATCAATTTCACCTATTATGCTGGAAAACTTCAGAGGTGAATTAAACATAAATAAACGATAGAACAATCACAAAAACTATTTCGAATATCTTAATATCTTTATTTTCTTTTTTTATAGGTATTCTGGAATGTCATTACGACCATTTACCACGCAGGAATCATGATTTCGAAACAATTCAAACGCGTACCTCAGTAGCGCCATCTATTGAAACTATGGAACAACATCTACAAAGGGTGTCACTTACTGAGTCTGCTATAGACGCTCTGAAGTGTGAAGCCAAACTCGATGTTATCGACTCGACTACATCAGAACCGTTGTATGCAGAAATACCATGCTGGAGACCACCTTCTGAACATGCTATTGAAATCATGAACACAAACGGGGAAGCTGTAACGGAATTATGACCACACAAGTGAGAAAGTTATTACCTAATAACGCAAGTTATAAATAGATGGCGCTGTAGATCTTTTTAATATTTAGTATGAATTTTTGTAGTGGTCTCGTTTTTTTTTTTTTTTGCCAAAGACTTTAATTTAGGATTAACAATGTTTGTGTGTATATTTAATAATTTAGTAATAAATAAATTGGTATGTTTAAAAGTAATACTTACTTATTATTCTCCCCAGCTGCAATTATGATGACCAACTTGCAACAACATTTTTAAATTAAATTAAAAGACTGGGTAACCATGTTAATGCTTGCACTGCCCTCATTTATTTTAGGCTTTTACAAGCACATGTGAAAGTCAAAAGTCACGCCGTCGGCACAATACATTGTATTGTGCCATCGGTTCTCAAATCTATTCCGGGAGTTCTTGTACTGTGAAGAACCGGCAAAGAAAGAAACTCAGTAAGGATTGTTTTTTCTCCCTGTTTTATTTCATATAGTGTCGTCAAATTGAAAGCTCAATATAAACTTATAAATATGTATTATAAAAAGGATCGTAATAACCTTATGCTCTAAGGCCTGGGTTCCGAACTTGGGGGTAATTACCCCTCTGGGGGTAAATTAGCTATACTTCTGGGATTTATTTAAAGAACCTAATTATTTGGTCAAATTTAAATAATAAGAAAATACTATATAATAATACTACTAAATAGAGCATGCGCTCCTTCTGGCTAGCGAGCCCGAGTGCTGAGTGTGGGAAGCGGGAAGAGATTTTCTCCTGATGATGACATTATTAAGGACGAAGATGTATCGGCCAAATTGGAACTGATGATAACATTTTAAAGTCGGGGTAAAATCTGTTTTTCTAATAGGTTACAGGGGTAGCAGTATTGGAAAGGTTAGGAAACACTGCTCTAAGGTAATAAATAACTAATAAATAATTTTTAAAATAAATGAGCAAGCATTTATGAAAAAAATAACTGAAGGTAAAATCACGACCAGGCGGTTTTATCATTCAAATGTTGTTTTACAGGAGTCTGACGCTTAATCGCTTGCTTATGAAAGGATTTAATAAATATGTGTGTTTTAATTCATTTAGAGGCAAACGAGAATATCATCTTCTATACTTATAATAAATCTGTAGAGAGGTCAATTCTGTACATGAAATATATTTTCAAAATAACTATCAGGGGGTGATTAGTGATCGATACTGATGCCAAAAATGCAATCAGTAAAATTTTTCTCTGTCTGTCTGTCTGTGTGTATGTTCCTTATAGAAACAAAAACTACTCGACGGATGTTAACGAAACTTGGTACAATTATTCTTCATGCTCCTGGGCAGGTTATAGTATACTTTTCATCACGCTACAATCAATAGCAGCAGAGTAGTGAAGGGAAATGTTGGGAAAACGGGAGAAGTTACTCCATTTTTTAAGCTTCCGTCGCGTGTGCAGCCTTAGTGGTTAAAGTTACATAGAAATTATGTATGATGGAAATATTCTACATAAAATTGTCTAAAAAATATCCCGCAACAGCATATGTCTATCTTTTATGGTTGACTCACAATAACACGTGTAATTATATAAATAAAGTCATTGTTTATAGCACAAGCCTGAGAACAAAAACTATAGTTTACACTACAGCTCTACACCGAAGCGAAGCGAGGGCGGGCCACTACTTAGGAATATTTTTATAGAAATGTACCTACTTACGGCTTGATCCATAAGAGATCCGTGAACCTAATGTAACAAAGGAACTTTAGTTTGTTTCCTTGTTTTAAAAGTATGTAAGTCACTGTGTTTGAGATATAGATTAATATTTTTTCAAACAAAAAGTCGATTTCTTTCAGTTTTTCTTTGGAAGATTGTCTTGAGCTTAGTTGATCTGCTAAAGTATGTTTTTGCAAAATAAATATCATATCGATGTCTGCCGCTGTTTCTTACAGAATAATGCCCTATTATACATTTAATACTATGAAAGTAACTACATAACATATAGGCACCCACAGGCTTATTTCCCCTTTCTTTCCTCTTCATAAAAAAATAATGTTAAATAAACAAAAGAAAGCCGATTAATCAAATTAACTCCAAATCCTCGAATATGTGCAATAAAAGTTTCACTTAATGGTTATTACGAAAATAGAGATGATGACAATTTTTTTTTCTTCGTTTATCAGGTAGATTGTCAAAAAGCATTGGACACGTATATTTTCTTTTTTCGCATAATATAAACATTGCAGAGATATATTGATTTGAAAAGTCGCATGACGTCACGTTTAGGTACAATTTTCACTTAAAAGTGACGTCACGAGCCCCTACTCCCAAACTTGACTTTATTATAATATAATATATTTTATATAACTTGGTAATTTTTTGGTTGATTGCCCAAAGAAAAAATACGTGTCCATAATTTTTTGATCATCTAACTGACCCTTCATCCCTTACTGCAGTTATATAAAATAATAAAATTAAATTATAACATGTAAAAAGAAATACCTAATTATATAACTGCGTTTATATATCTACAGATACTGTGGTTCGTATGGTACAAATATCTATATATCATAATCATAATCAATCATATCCAAAATCATTTATTCAGCTTAGGTTGTCACAAGCACTCATGAATGTCTAAAAGCTACGCCATCATCGGTTCGTCAATCTACGGCGGGAGACTGAGAAGAACCGACACCTGCTGAGTTTCTGCAAGGGCTGTTTTTTGTACCTGTATTATTAAGTACAGAGCTATCAAGTTAAAAAATGATTTCAGAGGTGATTCATGAATCACCTTTCATTACATTATGTGAAATATACTTTTTTCTCTCTCTTTATTTAAAGGACTTTTATCTTTACAGACATGTCAGTCCCATCGTGTACTTATATAAATTAACAAATCATCTAAGCCAATAATTAACTTAATATGTTATTGTCGGAAGAAAGTCGCGGCAGTCATATAAAGCGATACAGGATTCTAGCCTCTTCCGAGACCGGTTGGGCCAGAATGCTGTGAAACACCAATGTATGACATATTCCATTTACATTTGTTAACAAACTCTTGTCTCTCATTCTGGTATCGGACACAATCCATCAACAAGTGCTGGAGATCTTCTACAACACAGCATACTTCACAGTTGGGAGACTCGATTTTTTTTATAAGATATCCAAACTTGTTACATGGATAATGTCCAAAACGAAGTCTATTTAAGGTCACTAGAAAGTGTCGACTTAATGTTAAATTAATAAACCACGGTATTCGTAGAGGCTGACTCTGTATGGTTTTATACCATATTCCTTTTTCTTTCGATCTTTCATCAAAAAAATATACATTAAATTGTTCACCTGCATTTTGATTGTTGTACTGTTTATAATACTGTATAAATACAAATAGTGTTATTTATATTAGGTATAACCAGATAACATATAGCAAAGTAGTTAGAACAAACTCATCGCCGCTGGCAATACCCGTTCACGAGCAAGACGCATGTACCAGCCATCGCTATTCTCAACTATATTTTAGGGAACATAACGATCCGCCTCATACGACACCAGCGAAGAGACTTTTAAGTAGAGATGGGCAGTGGAAAAAAACATTTGCCATTTGGGAAAAAACCGGGTATTTATGTGGGAAAAAACCCAATAGACGGGTATTTTCATTATTAAACATAATTATCACGATCTTATATATTTTTTTATTTTTAGAACAAATGTAGCGAAAAATAGGTACGTTGCAGTGGCGAAGCTCCGTTTAAGGTACATGACGTATTAAAAATCAAAACTTTTGTGAATACTTACTTATAGGCTACTAACCCTTAGTTATAAGTTATATTGTATACTAACATATGGATCTGTGTTGTCTGACAATAAATGATATTATTATTATTATTAATATATTTACATTCAAGCACAAGCGGACATTGACGTATACGTTAATGCAAGCGACATAATTAAATTGCGCGCTTTGTAAAAATATTCTTTAATATGCTGGATACAAAATACGCAATGCATTTGATATCGCGCATACGCACACAGATCCGCGCCGTAGTAGGCTGGATAAGCCGCTTATCATATTGGGACTTCAAATAAATAAAATGTAAGCACTTCACGCACAAATACACATTACTACCACATGCAACCAATCGTCGATACAACAGCGATATAACCCGATCTTAGATAGTCTGCAATCTTTATTTGTCATGTGTTAAGGCTCCGTTTAGCTTGAAGTTTTCGGCCAATCGCAGACACCTGGCGCTCGGCTCTGTTGACCTGACGTAGAGAGGCCATTATTTCGCGCGCATTCGCATGGATAAATTAGCATTCGAATCCGTTCTATGCTAATTTATCTATTGTGATAAGTGATTAGCTTGATTGTGGTATATATGGAGTTTAACAGAATCGAAAGTAGTGAAATTTTACTTGCCAAGTGTTGCGTATAGTGTTTGTTTTATTTCACCGTAAAGGTTTGTTTGCTTTTTTTGTTTCTTGCCGTCACGTAGGAGTGGTGGAATTAGTACAAATAGATTGTTGTCTTACAGATTTCCTATTAAATGAGTTAACTTCATTCTCAAAACATTCGTTCGAAAATAAAACGTGGCCATGGCCTTCGGCTCTTTCTACCCCGTAAATCCCTTACTGACGTGATACTATGTATGTACGTAGAATAGAAATAAATTAGCGGTATTTCTGCTGGTTTTCTTTGTTTTTCTATATATTTATTAATAGCACAGTGTGACCTAAACCCGCACTTTACGCACGCTTTTCCGTGACCTAAGTGGCCTATTTCTGCACGGTGTGTAAATGAATTGACCAACTTCACTCATGTAGAATTAGTACATTACGATACGCGTAACTTAACTTTACTATGCCAATCAAGGAATAAACGTTCATGGATACATTGAAATTCTATTTTGTTGTAATGATAATTGATTTTTTCCTTTTGAAATATACTTTCAAAATGGTAATCTGAACCGGAATTCTTTCTTTTCAGAGTTTGACTTGCAGTCTGTATTGCAATTCTTTGTGATTGCAATACATGAATTTTACTTTCAAAACACTAATCACATCCATCCCTATCCCTAGTATACGATACTTGTGGCCTAAGTTGTCTATTACTGCACGGCGTTTAGCACCCTCGCTCCGCTAACTAACTAACTAACTACTTCACGCCGTGCAGTAATAGGCAACTTAGGTCACGCGTATCGTAATGTACTATTATGATCT